TAACGCATCGTTAAGGCTCACTTAGCTCTTAACAATACACAACGTGCTTCCCCTTTAGTGTGCCATATTCACAATTTTGAACCTGGTTCAGGTCGAATGAAAGCATAATTCCGGCGAAAATTATAAGCTCTGGGCAACAGAATCAGTGCGCTGGCTTTCGGATTGGTGTCGGAAATGCAGTTGGTCCCAGCATATATTAAATACAATTCGCTGCATGGAAAGGGCATCGTGTCACAACGGATAACTGATGCCCCATAATGTGCACCCGTGACGGTCACAACGGATAACTGATGCCCCGTAATGTGCACCCGTGACGAAACATGTGACCATTTTCACGGCTGATACTCTACTTCTATGGGTGGTGCATTCCTTAGATTCCAAAGCAGTTTGCAGTCGTATCAAGTAACTGCAGTGTGCGAATGATTTCAGTGTCGTGTCTGCTCAGGTTGCCGATATCTGGAAAGATATCCATTACCACGTCCCAAAACTGGAAAATCTCCATGGCTTACGTCCGAGTGTGAATAGTCCGTCCCACGCAAGCACAGACAATTGCTACCATGCAATTGTTCCGTCTGTCCTCAGGGTTGCAGTACTGTCTCTCTGCCTCTGTCACCCAAAGCTTCTGAGATATGGGCACAGTGGCAACATATTTTATGACTTCCAAATGTTGAATGCATACCCCTACGGTACACACGTCATACCTATGATGCACCATATTATACAAGTGTACAAGTGATGCTTCTGGCACGTTTGTGTCTAGCATGCGCGCTCCAGTGACGTCATGTCTGACATGCGTGTTCCAGTGAGGTCATGCCTGGCATGGCGCCCCAGTAACGTCATGGCTGCAGTAGCATAACCTTAACTCGCCCCCAAATATAAGTTTTTGGCAAATTGGTGCTCTTGGAAAGATTCAGCCCGGCAGGCCTCATCTTCTGCGATTTAACAAGCAGCCAGGTTGTGGTGATGCAGTCTTATGCATGAAATGAAAGTGAAACAGCCGAATGTGTATTCTGTGTAAAGTCCTTACACAGATATCACTAAGAATGCTGTTCTGACATCAACGATACAGGAAAAATCAGTTGCTTTCAATGTATGTTACCTGATCTCTTACCAATGCAGCTTTTGGCATGTTCCTCATTGAGCAAGACCAGCAAGCACTCAAAGCAACGAAGCACACCTCCCAAAGTATGTCGGCAGACCAAGACACTCTAAGCCAAACAATTGTGCTCGGTGGGCGTCAAGCATGACGAAACCGCTCCAAAAGCCTGTCAAATACTAACATACACCGGCTTGAAATGGTGTGGAAAATAAACCAGCCTATGCTTACCGCATTCGTGCATTGCTTTTTTTAACAAAAACGGACAAGTACGGATGTTGGTCATTTTGTTTAATTAACAAGAATTTAGCTTGTCGATGACAATCATATGCCGTAAACAACATGTTGTACCCCCTTTCCCCTAATCGTGTATCTGTTTTGATTTGCTCAGTGCACCATGATACGCTTTAGGTCGAACCTATGCAAGCAGAACACTTGCGAATGTAACATATTGTACATTTATGAGCTGTGATTCAGGTAAAAAAAAGAACACTAATCGACTGACTAGGCCGCAGCGTTAGGCCCTTTCAAAACCTTTCCAGGACAAATGCCTTACTACAACACAGTTAGATTTAAAGCTCTTGGACTTCAACAGCACATGCGTACTACCGCAACCACTTTGGATATTACTTCTAAACTAGTTTCATACACATACAAACCCTTAAAAAGTTGCGACTTCTGTAAGCGCCAACTCTAACGTGGGCACCAACTTTAACATAAACGGGAAATCTAGAGAGACCATAACGTTGCTTCCAGAGAGATACAGTTTGTGGTGATAGTCCTCTAATCATATCATACCTTCCTGCAGCGTAGGACAGCCCCTATTCAGCTTGCCTCGCTGAGACGCCATTTCGGTGTCTCAGTGCGTCAATGCGGAATAGCATCCCATGCGCGAATCCCGAACGACCTTGTTGACCTGAAGAGTGCGTACGTTTGGGTCACGCTGGTGTGGTTCGTTGGTGGTGAGCCATGTGGCCCGTTGGTCATTTCTGAAACTTGGGAATTGAAAAAAATAATGGAAACAATGGGAAAATGGAACGAAGGGGTGTTTCACATTAGAAGATACTGAAGCTAGCATCACATATGGTGGAACAAGCTCGCTTATAACTATTAGTATACTTCTAAAAGGTGGAAAAGGCTGCTCTAGACAGCATAATTATCTAGACAGGACAATTATCTAGACAGCACAATTCTCAATTTCGTAAATATGCTCCGCAATGCGTCGAGAGGTCTGATAACGTCATTAACCTTGCACAACATTGATTGAGAGCAGGACTGAGTGCTATTTTATCTTGAAATTGCGCTTCGCGAACGCCATATATGAACGCATCAACAATTATATTTCTCTTGGACTTTGATCGCGGCATGGCTTTATGAATGGCAGGATTTGAATAACGTTATTGTGATGTTATGAATGACATGGTGACTTCGAAATACTCTCCTTGATATGCCTTTTCCTATTTTCGCGGGTGTGTAGCGCAGAAACTAGAGGGGCTTAGGGCTTAAGAAGGGCATGATTGTGAACAGCACTGGCATGTCCTCAGCATGGCCATTTCATTTCAAAACCCATGTAAATGTGAGACACTCCCTTTAAGATAAGCTGATGAGTTGATCAAGCCTTGCCGTTTCGTGGGTCATTTCTTAAATGGTGCATAATGTACTTATTGTTTTGTTCCAGGACGTTCCAACTTTTCAGGCGACGCTACAAGTCATCATGCAGTTACCTTAAGCTGCTTTCATTGCCACAAGGATGATGAAGCTGATCCTGATTATCTTGGTCTTTCTTCCAATCGGTGAGGTCTTCGACTTGTCATTATGCTCGCCCGCCTTGACCAAACCATGAGAGTCCACATCGGTACAATAAAGAAACTATCATGCATGGGAGTCGACACATGGCTTTCCTGCTCAGAGCAGTCGCTGTATGTACTGGCTCAGAGCAGTCGCTGTATAGTGTTGGCTCAGAGCAGTCGCTGTATAGTGCTGGCTCAGAGCAGTCGCTGCATGGTGCCGGCTCAGGGCAGTCGCTGTATAGTGCTGACTCAGAGCAGTCGCTGTATAGTGCTGACTCAGAGCAGTCGCTGTATAGTGCTGACTCAGAGCAGGTCGCTGTATAGTGCTGACTCAGAGCAGTCGCTGTATAGTGGGAGCATGCAGGCATCCCATGACCGTATGTAAGCGTGTCTGTGATAACCGTCTGTGTGGCCTTAGTTCTTCACGAGTGCTATAAATAAGAGCAGATAAACTTGAGGCCGAATGGAATAGCTTACTAAGCATAATGCATTACATCTCTGTTTTGTAACCAATGACACACCCCGATTGTAAACGGGACATTTACCTAAAACTTCATCACACACCAGCCATCAGTTTTGTCCATCCAATTTCAGAGTATGCGCTCTGAACAATCATTACAGGGCGACAACAATCCATCCAATAGTCATTGCAAGCCATACAAAGTTTTGCAGAGTTTTTATACAATAATGCGGCTTTGCCATACGCATATAACGAGACGCCATGGTAGTCAACCCTGAAATGCAATTACTTTTTGCGGTATGCAGTGCTGCCTTAAACTTTATAAAGATATATAAGATGACCACGCATTACCCTTATGTCTTCATTTAAATCAACGGACCGACAATGGTTATATATATATATATATATATATAATCTTTGTTGTGATATATGCCACCTAAGCCGTAAGCGGAGTATATATGTATAAAATATATACACCCTTTATATATATATATATATATATATATATATATATATATATATATATATATATATATGTATATGTACTCTGCTTGTCTTTATTCCACACTTCTCGGCTATTTTGCTAAACAAGGTTACTTTTGCTTGATTTGATTTGCCTTCAAGATTGTGCGTGTAAATTTTCTTGTTAAGTTCCGATTATTTACTACGTTTGCATCCCTGTTGTGTAGCCGCCGGATACTCATCCACTAGTGGAATAATGGGCGTCGAAGCTTATGATATATGCCAGCATCGCGTATCGAGCATTTCGCTACCCGCTAGGTGCGGCGCAGCGGGGGGGGGGAGCACAGGGGAAAACGGGAAACAGGGGAAAAGGTATGTTTTTGCCTATCAGCAAGAAATTAATATGCCCATTTTTTCCGAAAACAAAGTCGTTATAGCTACTTTTAGCGTACCCAAATTTAGATAAAGAAGCTCCCTCCACGGCTGAGTTACATAGTAACAAATTGGGCGCAAAAGACTGTTTGTTGCATCAAGAGACTTTTCTGGATCATGAGGTCACCTTTATGAAAAACATGGTCGATGTTCTAGATCAGGAGGTCCATGTTGCGTTACGGCGTCCCCTTCGCAGACTCGAGAGAATCCCGTTGCAAGCTAGGACGTCCCTGTTCTGGGTCAGGAGGCGCCCTCTTTATTCAGGATACCCTTGTTTTACCCATTCTAGATGTTTTAACTGTCGACATTTTCCCACTTGGTGCGATACATGTAAGAGTTCGCTAAGGGACAGATGGTCTCGGTGCCCCTTCCCTATGTTTACGACAGTGCGTTAGAGCCTCCCCCCCCCCCCCCCCATCCCTGTGAGTGGTCCCCATCTTGTCCAGCAGGCCCCCTGGAAAATCCTCCCGCCAGCCAAAAATCCGTTGCGCTACCCTTGCTACCTGCACCAGCCGGGTTGCCCTGCCGCCGTGTCGATGACACCGCCCGAGTGCGCCCGACGCTACGTCTGCCACGTCGGCTCACGTCCACTCGCGGACACACGTCCGGCAGTGACGGTCCGACGCGCCACTTTGCCGCACCATCACGTCCGACGATGATGATTGGAGGGGATTATCGGTGCCTCTCGAGCCGGACTTGAGCCAGGTGTAAATGGCGCCGGCGGTCAGACGGCGCCCTAAACTGTCGCCCAATTATCCGGCAGTGTGCCCCCCGCTTAGAGCGCAGAGACGGGCGCCGAGCATCCGCCGGGATTGAGCGGACCTGCTCCCGTCGCGACTGAGCTCGGCGGCACAGCATCGGCGGCTGGCAACTGCGCCGGAGCACGGCGGCGCAGTATCTGGACATCGCCGCTGGGGCCGGGATGGCGGGCGGCGTTTTTCGGGGCTTATCACCGGCTCACGTCTAGTGCGGCGGCACCGCGGGCCGCGCCGTGCGTAGCGTAGGACGCGTAGGACGCTGGCCACGGCGGGGATGCGGTAGCATTGCTGTGCGTCTGGGAATGGTGGCCGCTGGCCGCTGTAGTGGTCACCGGGGGCGGCCGGCAACATGAGACGGTCAGATCGCCATGTTGTCCACTGCAGTGCAAGCGTGCTGCGTCAAGCACTTGTACCCCGAACGAAATCGGTCTTCAAAGCTGTTCATCCGTATGACAATTGTTGTAGTATTTCCGGACTCCTTACGACCTTCCATCGGCCATATTAAAGAAAGCTCTGCAATCCGCATAATGTGCACGTAATTTGGTCGGTTCTGGGGAACCTTTTGATGTAGAACATCCCGGGTCTGGGGGATGTCGTTCATCAGTACTCCCGGTTAATACGGTTCGGAAGCTGTGGGGGTCGGGAGGACGAGGCCTCTGAGGATGAAGAAGAGAAGACACATTGACTAGTGTTTGACGTGAGGCCGACGTCGGATGAATGCAAAAGCTGGCAATGTAGGAATAAAGGTAGGGAGACGAAATCTATTACCGCCCCTAAAATGTTATCTTCACTACTGCATCCAATGTGCCTCAGTTTTACTTCCTATGTCACGTCAGTCCCTTCTCGTTTAGCAGGACTCCTTGGTCATCGTTTCTTCTTTCGATAATGCGGCGCACTGACGCCGGAGCCGAGTGAGCACGCGCATCACGTGCTAAAAAAAGACAAGCAAGCGGCAATCCATGAGCGCAAGCGCCAATCCAAGATTCGCCACCGCAAATTCCAGCTCACTAGCAATCAATAGAACAGATCGATTGCAGAGGGGGCACCAAAACGCCCCTCTTTACGGCCCGGGCATTGGGCTCAGAGCCAGAAAGGCGGTGCGGCAGCGCCACCGAAGACATGCCGCCATCGCCACTGAAGACAAGCCGCCAGCCCCACCGAAGACAAGCCGCCAGCACCACCGAAGACAAGACGCCAGCCCCACTGAAAGCAAGCCGTCAGTCCCACTAAAGACAGGCCGCCAGCCCCACTGGAGACAGGCCGCCAGCACCACCGAAGACAGGCCGCCAGCCCCACTGAAGACAGACCGCCAGCGCCACTGAAGATGGGCCGCCAGCCCCACTGAAGACAGGCCGGCAGCACCACTGAAGACAGGCTGCCTGCCCGACTGCCGGAGGAGCCGAGCCGACCGCCTGCGTGGGATTCGCGCTCCGGCGGCCATAAACCACGGCCTGGCTTCAGTTTTCGCCGCACGAGGCGGCCCGAAGCGTCAGGATATGCCGGCCCGACACGGATCGCGGCGGTGTCATAATTGTACCGAGCGCCCCCCTCCCCCCTCGTCCGCTTTACGGTGCCTGTCAGCGAGCGGGCCCATTGCGTGCGGCACGGCAGTCTGGGCTCATATGTGCCACGCTTCGCGGACGTGTTTTTCGCGGCAATCCTCGACTGCCGTAAACTTAGTTGCTGCAAGCTAGACAAGGTTATTGACGGTGACTGCGACTTAATAAGTCACACTTTATGCAAACTGAAACATGCAAAAGATGATGTGCAAAGGGACATTGCATCAGTGACTGATCACTGCACTATTGCACTTTATATTATTGAAGCAAACGCAGAGGGAAGCAAGGAGCGCGAGAATTGTATTGTCCTGATTTTTGGTTAATGCGATGTGTTCGTGTTGCCAAGTATGACTTACCACCTGCGTGAACGCGTTCACCTTTAACGCCTCCTGGCCAGTTAGTATCCTTCTCCAGTATTTCAAACCAGTTTGCAGTATTATTCTGTTTAATCTCTCACGTCTATTGCAAGATAACGACTGCATCAAATCGACTGCGCGAAGTCCCATTTTATCCTATTCGCCAGTGCTCCACCTGAGCAGAGTTGACTGACCTTCCCGGCCGCGGCCCTACCCGGCGACGTCCGGGCCGGCCCGCGAGCGGTCAGGTCAACGTCCGGGCCGGCTGGAAGCGGTCAGGTCAGCGTCCGGGCATACCAGGAGCGGTCAGGCCAGCGTCCGAGCCGGCCAGGGGTGGCCAGGTCAGCGTCCGAGCTTGCCAGGAGCGGTCAGGGGCCAGCGTCCGAGCCGGCCAGGGGTGATCAGGTCAGCGTCCGAGCCAGCCGAGCGTGGTCAGGTCAGCGTTCGAGCTGACCAGGGGCGGTCGGAGCAGCGTCCGAGCTGGCCAGGAGCGGTCAGTCTAGCGTACCCGGGGAGCCGCGGCCGGCGTCACCTTCGCCGCCGTCCCCGATCCCATTAAATCATTCGGCGGCGTCGGCGGCGCGATTCCGTCAGCGCGCGGCCGGGGCAGCGGAGCGCGCGCCGACCGGCCGGCGGCCGGACAAATGTGCTGGCGACGGAGTGGCCCAGACTGCCTGCCGCCCGATTCGAGCGGCCGCAGGGGACCGATTCGGCTAACAGGGCCCGGCGACGATAAGAAAATAAGAACGCGGATGATTTTGACTCGGAGGGCATGAAATAGATTGATTTTATCGGCAGTACGTGGGGCCGCATTGATAATGAACGGACGGCCGGCGCGAGCGAGCCGGCACGAGTGATGGTTATTTCCTCTTGAGCTGTTTTATGGGGACAGTTGTAGGGTACGGTGCGGCGAGATGGCGACTCGGATGATGATACTCCATGGAGGAGTGCTAATCGCGGAGCTACGAGCCCGCAG